GATTACATTTAGGCCGTGGAGGCCAATACCCAGTACAGTTCATTCCTTTAATTTTTAAACTCTTCTCTCAGCTATGCAGGCAAGTTCCAGGGCAGACTTTTGGAGGTTGTTTTTGAAAAATAGATGCAAATGCTGTCTGTACTGTTGTTGTTTTCCTGGTGCCTGGCAGTGTTTGGTAAACAACTTGATTGCTAGGTCCCGGCCTCAGGGAACCACAGCTGCTCTTTCCAGCTCCCTGCAGACTTTTGTACTGAGCAGGGATTGCTTCAGGGAAAAATAAACAGGGGAGAACAAAACAAGAAAACATCACTTGTTGTTTTGTTGCTGCCTCTACCTGTTTTCCTGGAGCTGTTTTGCAACCACAGACCCTGGGATTTGGGTTCCTTTGCTTTACAAAAACAAGGCAGGCCCGGGTGGCATTCCACGCTTCTCTCTCCATGGCTAGACTGTGGCATTTGGAGTAGCCACAGGACTTGAAAAGCATTGGAAAGGACTTAGTAGCCACTGCCAGAACGCATGCATTTTTAAATATGTAAATTGAATAGGGAGAAAGCTTCATTCTTTCTAATGACCCCCAAGATGGTAATCTGGCTTTTCAACTCTCTAGGAAAACAGATTGAATATGGCACAATTAATGTTTCAGCACTTCTAGGCTTTTCGCTAAAATATTTTAATGGGCTTTTAATTTATTGCCGCTCTTGATTAGCAGGGTTGAGGCAGGGTTACTGCTGACCTCCTGGGCCAAGGTACTTCTGGGGCTGTAGTGAAGTGGAAAAGAACAAAGGTTTGATAGTGTTCTCAGCTGGAGCCTCCCAGGGATGAGCCCCTGGGGGTTCACTGAATAATTCCTTCCCCTAAAGTAGTCAGAGAGCAATGCAGTGTTCTTCAGATCTTTATCAGAGTTACCTGGGGTATCTGGTAGAACAGCAGATTCCTGGAACTTGTTTAAGAATCTCTGGACTATGGAGGGCAGGAACTTGGGCTTCAGGCTGGTGCCCCCCTGCACACTCACATTTGCAGTCCATGGCCTTGGTGATTGATATTGCTACAGTGTAAATATGTGAGCTGGGGTACAAAGCAAGTAGGGGTACTGCTACATTTTTTAAAAGTGTTTGAGACTTGCGCATTGTTTATTAGTGCATTTACTTTTCACTTACTCTAATTCCTAAGTTCGCTATTCCCTCCCTTCTTAAATCAAACAACTTTCTTCCGGAAATCGTTTCCTTTTGGTCTGAAATAAGTCTTTTAGAATGTCCTTAAAGAGAGGTGATAAACTTCTGTTTGTTTGAAAAAACTCCTATTTTACCCTCAGCTTTAAAAGATAGTTTTTCTAGTTATACAATTCTACGTAGGCAGGTGGGGGTTTCTGTCATTTTTTTCTTTTCTTTTTTGTTTTTGCCTCTGCACTGTGGAAAGGATAATTTATTTGGGTATCTATCTTCTGGTATTTTTAAAAATTTCAATTGCTGTATTTCTTTTTTGTCTAGAGTTCAGAACAGTTAAGTATTTTAGTTAGCTATGGGGTTCCATGAAGATGGAATTCAGTCCTATATCTAATTCTTAACAACATGCACACACACACACACACACACACACACACACACACTTCCACACACCACATTGATGATTCACCCTTTATTTTTAGATATGCCTGGTTACTTTAAAATATTAGAAGTCAAATAAAACAGACAGCACTAATGACCATACACATACAGCATTGTTTTTTTTTGTTGTTGTTTTTTTTTCTTGACAGAGTCTTGCTCTGTCACCAGGCTGTAGTGCAGTGGCGCAATCTTGGCTCACTGCAACTTCCGACTCCCTGGTTCAAGCGATTCTCCTGCCTCAGCCTCTCTAGTAGCTGGCGTCACCACACCCAGCTAATTTTTGTAATTTTAGTAGAGGTGGGGTTTCACCATGTTGACCAGTGTGGTCTCGATCTCCTGACCTCGTGATCCGCCCACCTCGGCTTTCCAAAGTGCTGGGATTACAGGTGTGAGCCACCGCATCCAGCCACATAGCATATTGTTTAACCGATTTATGTATTAGCTAGAAAACTGCTACTCCTCCAGTCCGAATGAAAACGAAACTCCCACAGGAAACCTCCACTAGCTCTCTCCTCATGGCTATCTTTGCTGTTGACTTGCCTACTCCCCACCCCGAAGCCTTCGAGTATGATATTCCGACCTGTGAAATGCGTTTTCCGCCCAATCTTCCAATTCCTTCCAAAACCTCAAGATAATGAATTCTTCTGGAAAGCTCTTATCTGCCCAGACACCTACTGGTGCTTTTCTGTGTCACCTGTACTGTTTCTCTGTGCTTCTGAATCACTCTGGAATCCTCAAACTGGAGACAGTGAGTGACCTCATCCATCCTTTGCTACAGGGATTGCAACTTGTTTTGTTTAAATATAACTTATTTAAAAAGTTAGCTGTCATCTTTGAAAGATTCTGAAATTTTACTAAATAGAAATCTAGATTACTTCCTTTGTTTGTCGAATTGAAAGCTCTTGAGGCTCTTGAGGGTATGTTCCCATGTGGCAGTAATTGGAGGGGGAAGTCCAGTGGCTTCCCCCTTGAAGCTGATAAAGTGAGGATTTCTCAGCTTGCTATGTTCGTTCCCTCTCCCTATTACCTTACACTTGGCCTCCTTCGCTCATTTGCATTACCTGCCTGTTCCAAAATGTGGCCCATGATTGGTAGTACCAGTATGGTCAGGTAATGCCAAAATTCATTGAGCAAGCCTGAGTCAGAAGGGTATATCACAAAAACTCAGGACTTTTGTATTAGGGTATTGGCTGGAAAATATAGAGTTCCCATGAGCACAAGCTTTATAGAGTCAGGCTACTAAAACTCCCTGTGCCTCAGTTGTCTTATCTGCATATTGAGTTTAATAATATCTGCTGAGAACTTTGTTGTAAGAATAGAATGAAATAATGGTTGTAAAAGACTTAATACCCAGTACAAAATGAGTTTTCAACAAATGGCAATTGTATTTTTAGAGAGTGCCGAAAAGTTACTTCTTTCAATTGTTGATTCATTTACTCACTCAAAAGATACGTATGGAGTACCTGCTATGAGCCGGGTGTTGATCTGAAATTTTGGAGTATTGCGAGGAACCAAAAAAAAGTTCTTTTATCTGATTGAGCTTACATTCTAGTGGGGAAGACAAGTGAGTAAATAGATCATGGCAAAAACTCTGAAGTAAGCACATGGGATGATATGATTGGGAGTAACTTGGAACCTAATGTAAGTAGGTAGGCAAGACAAGCTTTTTGAAGTGGCCTTTGTCCCTAAGATCCAGTACTGAGAAGGGGCCAGCTGTGTAAGGAATGGGCTCACGGCGTCTCGGGAAGCTGAGGTAGCAAGTCCACCAGCCCTGAGACGGGAAGACACTTGCCTTGCTTGAAACAAAAGGAAGGCCACTGTATCTACATTGGTTATTGTTTGGGATTGGGTTGGTAGTTAAGGTAGGGTCAGAGAAGTAGGAAGTGACCAGATTATGTAGGACCCTCAGGCCATGGAAAGAAATTTAAATTTTATCCTAAAGATGGTAAACAATTTCAGCCCTTTTCTTTTCTTTTCTTTTCTTTTGTTTTCTTTTCTTTTCTTTTCTTTTTTTTCCTTTTTTTGCTATATGACATAGACCTCATGGCTTTAGGGAGCATGTCTGAGCCTTGGAAGTACTTCTTGGATCTCAAAGCTGCTTGGAGGCTTGGAGAACAGGACTTCGCCATTTGACTCGAAATGTGGTCCATGATTGGTAGTATCAGCATCTCCTGGTAGTTTTCTAGAAATGCAGAATCTCAGGCCCACTCCAGATCTAGTGAATCAGAGCCTTCGGGGATGGGTCCCAGGAATCTGTATTTTGAAATGCTCTCCAAAAGATGCTTATGCGCAGAAGTTTGAGAAGCATCAATCTAGAAGACATCTGGACAGATTTCTACAGGACTTAGAGCTGTGCTCGTTGGAGAAGAGTGGAAGCCTTTCCTGGGCACCCAGGGGATGCTGCCAGCCACAGGGGGTGCTGGCTCAATAGGGTTAGGTACTGGTGCCAGGGTTAGCATTCTAAGCGCTTGAAAAACTCTCTGGTCACAGAACATCTTCGGTGTTGATGGCAGGTCAGCGTAAGAGTGAATCATGATAAAAACAAAATAAAAACCAAAACCTCTATTTAATCAGTACACTTAAAGGAGAAGTTAGTAGTTTAAAGTAATTAGAAGAGATATACTTCTTTCAGAAAGACAGAAGCTTAGAGGTGGAAGGAACTTGAAGAACATTGGTTAATGCCCTGACCCTACAGGTGAAGAGACTGGAATCTGGAGATGATAAATGACTGTCCTGGGGCCACACTAGCGATTAAAGACCATACTGGGTCCAGAACTCAGGCTTCTCAACTTTTGAGCCCTGACCATCGCACAATACGTGCTTTCTTGATGGAAACATCTCATGAGTATTGCTCCTTATGTAATCCATAATCATTTTTAGAATAAAACAGAATTATTTTGGAGAAAAAAAGAATGATGATTACCTTTCCTACTAGTTTTAACGTTCATTATTACTATTAGTATTTCTAAAATAATTTAAAATTATTTAATTTTTTTGTTTACTTTATTTTGTTCTTCGATAAAGATCACAACTTAATAGGGAATGGTACATTTATCTGTGTAATATTTTAGTTAAAACAGTTTATTGTTACCTGAACACTTGATAATGGGAAGTGGTATTTTCATATGCTAAAATATTTAAAATACTTGGTACAAAGCCCATAATAAATAACAACTTTTCGGTGTATGTGTTGAAGTGATTAGTAAATGTATCTTTCAAAACAGTATTTCCGGTTCATATTTGACAGCATCACACTTGATGTATTGACATACCCTGGCTTGAACGGTGTTTTCCCCTACCTCAAGAATCTATGTCTTGCTGTTTTCAAGTGTAAGGAAGTGGTGGTTTTAGAAGTTACATCTTAGTTATGTGTAAAAAAATATTTTTGTGTTGCAGTGTCCCAGAAGCTTTTGTTGACAATTCCAGTTTCCGAACAAAACATTTCGGCAATGGTGAGGGCTTCGATCCCTTCTCTGATTTGCTGTCAGCCATGAACGGATGGATGTGATGCCTGCTAGCCAAAAGGGTGAGTGAATGAATGTTTGTGATTATTCATCTGAAAATTCACAAGACAAAAAATCCTTCAAGACAGTTGCCCACCCAGGATGAGAGCTTCTCATCTTGAAAGAAAGGACAAACTCTGTCTTTGTTTTCTGGTGTAATCTTTTCAGATAATTCCTGCAGTGATCTGAGGATTTATAAAAGGCATAATAGGACATAGGAGAACTTTCTGTGCTTGCTTTTTTGTTTTAATCATATTCTGAAGAGTGGACTATGTCAGTTTTGGGTCATGTGCAACATTGAATGAGTAATTGCTTTTTTGGTCTCATTACAACTTGGTGATAACATGAGCCACCATGAAATAAGACAATAATTTTTTCATCTTGAGTTTTAGGGAAAATTTGAGTCTAATTTGTTCCTTGAGAGAGTCCCATCCCAATCTTTTTGTATGATCAGGACTTTTGAGAAAGCCAAAGGATTGGAAACTTGGGATTTTCAAAGATTTTTTGAAAGACTTCTGGGATTTTTTTTTTCTATTGTATAGAAACCTTATTAGGTTATTCACTGCCTTTTTAGGGGGAGGTTAGAAGGAATGTGATGATATTTTTCTCTGTGTGTTTTCCATCTATCCTGTTCCTCATCAGTCAATGACTCCCCTGTAGTAATGAACACTGTGACTTGTTGTTACCAGAGACAATGATTGGTTGAGGCCAGGCATTTTGGGTGACAACTCTGACGTCATTTGTGGTAGCCTTGTCATTGAATGAAGTCAGTTTTATGGAGAACCATATCATTTCAGGGTTTGTATTGAATGGCATTTAATGGTAAGACCCATTGGCATAAACTCATCTTTTTCTGTCTTAGTGCAGTAATATTGGAAGCAAATTGTAAATAATGGAGAGAAGGGTAGTGAAGCAGAAAGGGCACTGTATTGGGAGTTGGGAGGCTTAATAGTAACCTGGCATGGGGCAAATTAGTCTCTCTCTTCTTTGATTTTTTTTCTTTTTTTTCTTTTTTTTTGGAGACGGAGTTTTGCTATTGTTGTCCAGGCTGGAGTGCAGTGGCGCGATCTCGGCTCACTGCAACCTCCGCCTCCCCAGGTTCAAGCAATTCTTCTGCCTCAGCCTCCTGAGTAGCTAGGATTATAGGCGCCCGTCACCGTGCCTGGCTGATTTTTGTATTTTTAGTAGAGACAGGGTTTTACCACATTGGCCAGGCTGGTCTCAAACTCCTGACCTCAGGTGATCCGCCCGTCTTAGCCTCCCAAAATGCTCGGATTACAGGTGTAAGCCACCACGCCAGGCCTGATTTTCTATATCTAAAGCAAAGCATTTAGGTTAGAGGATCCTATTCTATCAGTGTTATTGAGGCCCTAGAAATTATCTATTTAAACACCTCAGTTTACAAATGGGACAGCTTAAGTCCATGAGTCTAGGTGGGATAGCCAAGTCCCTGGGGTTGGTCTGGACTGGACCATAGCTATTTGGTCATGATTCAGTGGTTCTTTCTAGCTTATTTCAATTACAAAGATTAAGACATCCTGCCCATTTAGCTTTGTAAACCTCCTCTGATGATATGTCTAACACATTGTTATGCTTTCAATTATTTGGGCCAGATTTGCAAAGATTTTATAGCTAGAGGTCATTTTAACAAATCCTTCCCATTTTATACATTAAAAAATACGTTAGTTTTATTGTCCAGAGAAACTGTGTTCATGGTGAAGCAACTGGCTCAAATATTAGCGACCAGATGATTTTCAAAGAGCTATTGGCTCAAAAAGGCACTTCCTGTCAGTTTGTTAACTGATAACTTGTACTGGTTCTGCTGGAGCTAGAGAGAGAGAAAAAAAAATCAAGTCTCTTATCTTCTCTACAGTATTACTTCTGTCAGTGGCAAGAAATAAGGCAAATAGTAAACAGTAACACACAGGCAAGGATGTCCACAATGAAAAGAAATGGTCAATGGAGTCATGAAATTTTAGAGTTGTTGGTGATCTTTGATCTTTTTACTGGGTGGCCTTGGGCAAGTTGTTTGGTTCCCTCACCTGTGAACTCCTGAGGTTTTCCATTGCTATGCATGTATGATAGACTTTTGTGGATGGTCTGTAGATTAGTGAACAGGCAGCACGTGCTAAGAAAATTTGTATCTTGGCCAGGTGCGGTTGCTCATGCCTGTCACCACAGCACTTTGGGAGGCTGTGGAGGGTAGATCACCTAAGGTCAGGAGTTCAAGACCAACCTGATCAATATGGTGCAACCTTGTCTCTCCTAAAAATACAAAAATTATTTGAGTGTGGTGGCGGGTGCCTGACATCCCAGCTACTTGAGAGGCTGAGACAGGAGAATTCCTTGAACCCAGGAGGTGGAGGTTACAGTGAGAGGAGATCGTGCCACTGCACTCCAGCCTCAATGACAAAGTGAGGCTCAGTCTCAAAATAATAATAATAATAATAATAATAATAATAAAGAAAAGTCGTACCTTTAGGAATTCAGGTAGAGTTGAGAACAAAGCCTTGGTCTGTTTCATATACACATGAGAATTCATCAAAGTTGTTAGAATTCTGAAGGTATTGAAATAACAACAAACTCAGGTTTTTGGTTACATGTCATCTCTGTCTTTGGTATTGAGAGAGTCTGACTCAATCTCACTGTTATAAAATTGATGTATGAAATTGAACAAAACCACATGAATGGATTTGTTGAAGACGAGGCTCATTTTATTCATTAATTTCAATTGGGTTTGGCCCATTATTTGAAAAATCCATCTGAAGAACTATAATGAAAATGATATCTGTTTTGAAAAAATGCACTTTTAGGCCTAGTGGAATACTAAGTTTTTTCTAAATAAGGAAATTCTTAGTATTTGTCAGGCTTAAAAAAACTTCCCTTCTCTGTATTTTTTTAGTAGAAGGTAGAGGTATCCTATGAGCTGGACCACATGTTCTGATTTTCCATTCTCCTTCCTTTTTTTTTTTTTTTTTTTTAGACAGAGTTTTGTTCTTGTCACCCAGGCTGGAGTGCAATGATACAATCTCAACTCACTGCAAGCAATTCTCCTCCCTCAGCCTCCTGAGTAGCTGGGATTGCAGGTGCCCACCACAACACCAAGCTAATTTTTGTATTTTTTAGTAGAGACAGGGTTTAATTATGTTGGCCAGGCCGGTCTCGAACTCCTGACCTCAGGTGATCCATCCGCCTCAGCCTTACAGGGATTACAGGTGTGAGGCACCGTGCCTGGCCCCATTTTTTTCTCAAAGTGCATTTCCAAGGCTTGCTCAGAAGACTCACTGTCTCCCTCTGTGCTGCAGTGTCTGGCCTTCCATGCATTATGCATCTGATAGTCATTCCATTGTCAAACATTTATTCACAGTCCTGTGCCTTTTAGAACTTTACAGTTTATTGAATAACCAAAGGAGCACCAATTATTTGTTGCAGCTGATAATTTGGAGTCTTTAGGCTTGAAGTAAACTCTAATTCTGAGTGAAGTGTTTCATGGTAAGTGTCCTCCTGGTAGACCAGGGTCAGAGTCACAGAGGTAGGCAACCAGAACAACAAATTGCCTCACTCAAACACAAGGAAATGAAACCATGAAATAAAAGGTTTCCACAAATAGATCATTATGGCCAATTTTTTAAGGTCAGAAGATGGGTAGTGTACTCAATTGATGCTGGCAATAACCATGCTTGCATAATAAATTGATTTAGAGGCAGGAGACAGCGAAAGAAGGGCTGAGCACTTCACATCTCTCTTTGTGCTGTGGTTCTTTAATGCCACCGTTCACCAGGAAGGAGTCAGAGTTGGCTCCTGTTTCCTGGTGTGAAGCTTTAGTTGACACTGGTGCCTATAGATTGCACATCACGGGACTTCCAGAGTGAAGACTGGTAATGCCTGCTGCATATTTAATCGGCAGTTAGCCGCAGTGTTATTAATAAATGTGATCGTAGCAATTTGTATTTGCATAGAGTTGTTTTGAGAAGGGCTGACTAGAGATGGCAAATGTGTCGGTTTGTTCGTCCGTCTCTGCTCTGTCATTACATCGTCTCTACCAATCCCTCGCTTGTAGATCTGGTGAAAAGACATAAATGTCATGCAACATTGTGTGTGATTTGCTCACAATTGTTTTCCCTTATTTGTCCAGCCTTCCTCTTTTGATCTCTCTCATGGTCAAATTGCTACCTTTTGACTTACTAGGAAAAGATAAAAACATGGGCAGATGCATCCTTCTCACCGAAGACTTCGTGAAGGGCTACTTTTTGGCTGGGAGTTCCTTTCTTTTTAAAATAAAACTTGAGAATATGGACTTTCCGTGACCGGTTTTGGGGTGGGGCAGTGGTGGCACAGCTTCCAGAAGGTATGTGCAGCTGGCAGGTACCTTGGGCCAGGAGAGCCAGCCGACAGGGTTCCTTTCTGGTCTGCTGTGTGCTGCAGCCTGTCAGAGGGCCAGCCCACTATGTTGTACTTAAACTTCCAGTCTCTGGAATTTTGACTTTGAAAAGTAATTTTAACAATTTAATAAACTACATAATATGTTTTATAAGCTGGAGCGAATGATCTTAAGTATTTTGGTCTCTTTCATAACACAATGAACCTAATATTGGTAAAAATACAGATCTTCACTCACACCATAAAGACAGTCTAGATTTAATAAGCAGTTATGAGTGCTGGCAGCTGCCTATCAGATTGTATCACTCAGGCTCCCGCATGCGAAGACAGTGTCAACTTACATTTTATCTGTGAAGTATTTTCGATGCGTTTATTTTGCCTTTCTCTCCAGTTCCTAACCCAATACAAGTAATGTAATTGGCTAAATATTTTCCACATAGCTAACTGTCTAGAGGCCAAGGTGGAAACCATTGTCTGGCTTGATGAAGATGAGAAATTAACATGACATTTACGTGGAGGTAATGGAATATATTAGTAATGCAGTAATTCAGGATGGTGAGACAGTGTCCATCCCTTCCTGCCCATAAGCAGCAGGAGGTGTTCAGCAGATGATGAAAGAACCTCCAGACCCCCACCCTAGTTC